CTCTCCCCTCCCTCCTCTTGTCCTCATTTCCCCTCTCTCCTCCATTCTCCCTTGTTCCCTCGTCCCCTCCTTCCCTCTGTCGTCACTCCTTCTCCTCCTCCTCCTCCTCTTCCTCCTCCTCCTCCTCCGCCTCATCCGTTCCCCCCTCCCCCGTCCCCCCTCCTTCAGGACAGGGAGCGGCAGCAGCTCCGGACGATCGCCGGCAGCGATTCCGGCGTCGACGAGGAGCTTGACGAGGGCGGCAACATCAGCAACCTCGCGGCGAGGATGCCAAAGGGGGCACAGAAGCGGAAGGGGGCGGTGGGCGGTGGGCATCGGGCCTTTTTCCCCGTGGCTCATGCTGCAGAAGGAAGAACTGGGTAGAGGAGCAGTAAATTTCGGGGACGGCGAAGAGGGGGGTGATGACCAGGAGGGAGTGGATCTCATGGCGCCTCAGATTTCATGGCGCCTCCTCTCCTTTCATTACGTCTCTCCCCCCCCTGGGCGCACATGCCGCTGGCCATGATTTGCGCCCCCCCTTGGGACGCCCCCCTCTTGGCCGCCCCCAAAAATTGCATAAACATAACCGTTCGAAGGTTATCGTGGTGTTTCTCAGGTCGGCGATTGACCGCCGGTCCTCCCTTGCGGCGCCTCTAGCGCTGTCCGTGGTCCAGCGCCGATCCAAGAAGTCATGGCGAATTCCCGAATGCATTTTTAGAAGCATATTATGTGTATATTTATACACATGTGATGACTCTCAGAAAGGAGGGGGAGGAGGAGAGATTGGGAGGGGGGGTCATGGATCGGTCGGGCTGAAGGGGGGAACGCGGGCCAAAGGCGGGCGAACCGTGCGGTCTGCAACGGAGCGGGGTGGCGAGATTCTCAGGCCTTGTCTGGACCAGGCGACGCTCGAGGCTCTTGTCAGACAAGAGACGGTGGCGGCTCCGTCCTATGGGTCCCGCGTCGGCGCCGCCTCGCCGGCAAGAAGCCGAAGAGGCTCGTCGGCCATGCCACCTTCGCCAGCATGCTGGACCGGATCAGGCTGTGCGTGCGCAGCGCCTGCCATGCTACGCCTGCATGAGGTGCCAGGACGGCCTCGGGGTGATGTGGCCCACGGTGCCACAGGGGATGATGGCCTTCGTCGTGTTGCTGCCCCTGGTGCGAGGGCCGTGAGACGCGCCGTGGAGCCCAGACTTCACTGCTATCGCTGCTTCTCTGACCGATGTGGGCTACTGACCGATGTGGGCTTGTACAGTGAACCCGCATAGGAAGGATGAGCAGCGTTCCAAGGTTTCCCTTGCATCCCTCCCCTTCGGCCCATCCTTGGCCGCTTTCGCTGGCCGCGCCCCGCTCGCAAAGTGTCGACATGGCTCTCCACGGCCCTTGCATCCTTCACTGGCGTCCGTGTTAGACGGGTTGACTGTTCGCGGCTAGCTGCGCTTGCGATGAAGCGGGCGGAATGCACTGCGGGTGCGCAGTATATTTCGCCATTTGCAACGTTTGTGTGGCTTTGATCACGCGCCGCACCTCCGCCGCAGGCGCCCAGGCAGCCTCGCCTGGGTCTCTGCTGCGGACGCTGCCCTGTTCGGAGTTTCTGTGACGGCTCGAGCGCGCGGCGTCGATTTGGCCCCCTCCCATGTTTCCCCCAGACACTTGCCACACGTTCAGTGCCATTGAGAATATGGCACCAATGCGTGACGCTCTCTGAACCGTCATTGGTCTTCGCTCACGGGACCTCCCGGGAGCGCGACTAGGATGTGGGGTGCCAGATGCAGCAATGGAGCTGAGACATTCATTGGCAGAGGTGCCGAACACAAGATGGGGAAAGCGCGCCAGTGGATCCCCCTGAATACACAAAAGGGAGGGGTGCTTGCAGAACCCCCCCCCCCTCCCCCCCTTCAAAGGGGGGGGGAGAGATTTTCGTCCCCCCCTCCCTCCCCCCCTTTGAAGGGCGGGGGGGGGTCCGGACCCCCCGCCCCCTCCCCCCCTTGGCGCTGCAAAAGGGGGGGGGGGTTCGACCCGAAATGAGACGAATTACAACCGACTAGTCCAAATTCCAACCGTTCGGAGCATATTGCAACCAGCAATGGGATCAATTACAACCATGGGATCTTCAGAAGTACTTCTTTCTTCTGCAGAAGTACTTCTTTGTTCTTCAAAAGTACTTCGTTTCCTTAGGGTTCCTTAGGGTTCATCAGGAATCCTTAGGATTCCTCAGGATCTCTAAGGATTCCTTAGGATCCCTTAGTATCCTTCGGATTCCTTAGGGTCCTTGGGATTCCTTAGGATCCTTAGGATTCCTTAGGATCCCCAAGAATTCCTCAGGATTCCTCCGGATTCCTTCAGGAATCCTTAGGAACCTTTACGAATCCATAGGAATCCTGAGGAATCCTTAGGCCGACGGAGAAATCCTTAGGCCGACGGCAATAATTTTGGTGTGGGCCCCTCCTCCTATTCCTTTTCCTCCTCCTCCTCCTCCTCCCCCCCTCCTCCTCCTCCTCCTCCTCCTCCTCCCCCTTCT